CTTTCCTTCTATTTATCTTAAAATGATGTCAAGCTAATACAAAACAAATTTGCTCTGGTAGTAATTTGTGTGTTTGTGCGCACACGCGCGTGTGTGTGTATGTGTTTGTGAAGAAATTTTGAGAGTTGAATAACGATCAAACTACAAATAGAACGAGTTGTCTACAGTCTCAGACAAAATTAAATGATAACGATTTGGTTACATTTGTATAGAAGATTTATAAGCTACCTTTCATTTATTTGCTTACTGAGATTTTTTTTTTTTTTTTTTTACATGGACTCAATTTATGGAGCCTCGCTTGTTAGTGCCTAGAAGAGCATACTATTATTGATAGGTTGTCCGGTTTTTTTATTTATGCTATTATTTGTTCAAGACCAAAATTTAACTAAAAACAAAAGCGTACAGTCAATGAATACGATTATCTGTTCAGACATGGTACATTCGATAATTTTCTATCACGATGTATACTCTGAAATATGTTAACATCGATGTGTATTCAAATTGCGTTTCATTTGGATGTGTTCCGGAGTATATGTAACAGGTATCATTTTTAGTCATAATGCTTTGAGAACAATGAAAATAAACATTGAGATATTTATTAAGCCTAGTATAATTTTTCTTTAATATTTGTTAACCAAATAAGAGCAATATTTTAGACGTTAATTTCAATGTATATAAATATGTGTTTGTGTGTGTGAGTAAGTGTGTGTGTGTTCACAGCTAATATCTCTCTTATTTGCATGTTCCCATTTTATTATAATTGTGCTTGTACTTCCCTTCGTTAGTCCCCACGATTGTTACGTCCTGCCAATACCAGTGAACTATTCGGTTTTTATCGCCTATTTAAAAAAAAACACTATTTAGTATCAAACACTGTGGAAGGATGTAATGGTATCCGAAGATTTTGTTATTTCGTAAAAACTATATATATATATATATATATATATATATATATACATTTCTTTAAACTGGATCCCCACAAACGTGTGGGCTTGATCGTATCCCTGCAATAGTTCTTAAAATATGTGCTCCTGAACTGATTCCTGTTCTCTCTAAATTACAATAAATACCTTGCTGTTTCTTGGGTTCCTGCTTCTTGGAAATCCTCTTCTGTATTTCCAGTCTTTAAGAACTCAAGTGAACCGTCTGAGTCTTCTAACTATCGGCCTATTAGCCTTCTAACTCCTTTTGGCAAAGTACTAGAGCTCTAATTAACTCTGAATTGGTTAAGCATTTCAACTTGCAGGGCTTTCTTTCGGACAAGCAATATGGCTTTCGCTTCTCTTCTGGTGTATTTGCTGTTATTGATGAAAGAGTCTATTAAGCTTTAGATAAAATTGACGAAACTCGTGTTGTTGTGTTGGATATCTCAAAGGCATTGGACAGGGTGTGGCATACTAGTTTTCTTCACAAGTTGAAACATTATGGTATTTTGGGGCGAATTTTTGTTTAATTCAATCTTATCAAATCATGAAATGAATGTTATCTTGAATGGCCACTCTTCTATATCTTTTTGCATTAATGCCGGTGATCCTCAGAGCTCTATCCTTGGAACTACGTTATTCCTAGTTTTCATCAACGACCTTTCTAGTGTCCCCAGTTCGCCTTTCGGTATCTATGCTGACAACACAACTATTTACTCGTGTATGTTTGATCGGTTCGATAAAGTGAAATTGGCAGCTGATCTAAAAATGACCTACAACCTTTTGTTAACTGGGTCAAGAAATGACTTGTTAATTTTAACGCCAACAAAACGAAGCTACTCTCTTTTACTCGTATGAGGGTATCTTTTTAGTTTTCCATCAGCATGGCTGATGCTAACCTCCAGAATAATGACATTTTGTGAACTCTCGGGATGACGTTTTCCGCTGACATGAAGTAGAAAGATTATATTGAATCTATTGCTAGATTTGATGCTAGAAAACTTGATTCACTGTATCGTGCCAGAAAAATTTTCTCCCAAAAATCTATCTTACATATTTATAAGTCTACCATTCGGCCGTATATTTTATATTTTGTATTAATAGGATCTATTTGGATTACTTACCGATGGATCTTTTTACCTAGTATACACACGCACACGCACACACACACACACACACACACACACACATATATATATATATATATATATATATATATATATGTGTGTGTGTGTGTGTGTGTAACCAGGTAAAAAGATCCATGGGTAAGTAATCCAAGTAGATCCTATTAATACAAAATATAAAAACTGATTCAAAAAAGAGATCAATATAATTTTTTATTATAGGGCATATTGTATATATATATATATATATATATATATATATATATATTACCTCTTAGTGGGTATATATACATTACCTATTATGCATATAGTACCTATTAGTGTCAGTATGAATCCTCTTCTTTTCCCCCAAGCTATGGGTAAATAGCAGGACAGACCAGGTTCTATAGCCTTAGATGGCAACTGGTCTACCGCAGAAAGAAATGGCAACCTACTGCGGAAAAAAATCTGCCTCGTCAGTCATGTATCTTTCGATACATTATCGCCTAAGCGTGTATCACGCATGGCACATAACTGACTGACTGACCTATTCGTGGGCATATATTTCCTATTATATATATATATATATTACTTATTAGTTGGCATATATTACCTATTATAGAATATATATATATATATATATATATATATATATATATATATATATATATATATATATATTACCTATTAGTGGGCACATAGCCTAGTGGTTAAAAAGTTAGTGTTACGACAAGAATTCGAATCTCATGATTGTCGATTTGTAGCCGTTGGGAAGTACCTGAAAATCATACCAGGGTAGACCCAAGCCCTGTGAGACGGATCTATGCGATGGTTGGACTCGCACGATGAGGATTGTGGTGTACTGATCTTGTTCAATATTGTTGATTACCCAGGATTACGCGCTTTCTCCCGAAAACTAAGGTTTACCAGTTTTGTTGCAGTATAAACCCAAACAACGCAGTTTTGAAAAAACACAAATGTTTTACAGTAACCATTATACTTATCAGCTATTACATTTATTTGTTATCACGGATATAATGTGAACAGAATAGCGCTGTTGTTGGCAGAATCCAAAATAGAACTGGAAGAAAAAGTAGTAATAGAAAGCTAGCAGAAATGACTATTAACTGTAAGAAGACAGAATGGTTTTCAACAAAAGTGACAGTTCAAGATGTAACCTATGCAGGGCTGGTGCGTACTATCCCCGAACATTCCGACCGGAGATAGGCAAACTTTGTGTCTCTCTATATATTATCAGCATTTGCTTTTTTTCTATCTACATTTTTATACATTACAAATTAAACCCAGCAAAACTGACTATTAAAGGATGAAAAATGTTCGCGAATGTTGACGCCATTCTGTTTTTTTTTTTTTTTGTCCAAATTCGTGAATTTGTTTTGCTCATGCTAAGTTTTAAAAAACTCTATATAATTCACTATTTTTTATTCATAATGTTGAATGTATTAAAATTATTCAACTTTTCAAGAAGAAAAATCTCAAGTTGATGTTTAAAATTACTGCAAAACATTGTTGATTTATTTAAAATGGAATGATCTATTATGACATGTCTCTAATTTGTATTTAGATACATTGTATTTATTTTCAATTTTTCTAGTTAAATTGTTCACCTATATTGTATATGATCCCTTGTTGTATAGAATTATGTTACAATAGAATTTGTATTTTATATGAATACTACCTCATGAAAATTGAAATGTAGTATCATAGATTCGGAGGGGACTTACCATAGATTCCGAGGGAGCATGAGACCCTTGCACCAGCCATGAACCTATGTATTGGAGACGTCAAAATCAAGCAGATTCAGATATCAGGCAGTGGTTTGTGAGAAGAAGCTGTTTGAGTCGAACTTACTTCTCATCGATGGAATACGAGGAGAATGAGGGTGGTTTGTTACTTTGTAAGTGGCATGGCGGGTCCTAGCCGTGATGTTCAGACCTGGTGTAACCAGGAGATGCAGTTTGTCCGAGCACTTTTCATGGTAGTAACGTTAGAGCAGTGAGAGATCGCCACATCCCGTCTGTTGGAGAGAGGTCGAAGTGTGGAAAATAATTCTTCTCCAACAAGGACTCGGAGACGCTTTTGAACTCAATCAAAACTGGAAAATGAAATGTTGGCAGCTCTTGCCAAAATATAGCATAAGTAAAGTATTTTCGGCCTGATCTGGCTCTTATGAAGGTAGATAGTTTGAGGAGTCAGGTACTTACTGGAGCGATACAGGGAGCCGATCATTTTACCTGCATCTTTAGCGATGGATTGTAGATAGCAATTCCACTTGAAGTCGGGTGTGAGTTTGTGGCCCAATATCCTCTCAACGGTGCCTTCTCGAGGAGACATCCGTTCATTGTGAACTACAAGTAAATTTAGAATCAGGAGAAGGAGAATTAAATATTTAGATATTGAATACAAAAGAAGCAAAGGAAACCAGCGAGAAATCTACTTAACGAATTTGTTTTGAATAGATAGCAGAATTGGGACAAAGATGGATGCATTTATAAGTATCTTTCTCTCCTAATGTGCTTTCGAATTTCAGTGCCTCACTTTCCGTCTACTGTTAAAAAACTTCCTAGATATTTAAAATTTTGCTTGATTTTGGTATGTTCAATATGTAATTTGTATGTTGATCTGTTCTTTTGCTGACAACCATAAATTCTGTCTTCTTGCAAGTAACGTTTACTCCATTCTTCTCGCTTTCCTTTGGTAAGCGTTCTCGTAGTTTCCTTTTTGTGTCTGTTATCAATACTGTATCATCTACATATCTAATGTTTTTAAAATTGTGGCTGCTAATAATAAATTCTGGTGGGACTTCTATTTCTCTCAGAATCGCCTCAATGTACAGATCAATGAGAAGACATATCCTTGTCGCTGTTCAGTGAGAAGACGTATCCTTGTCGCTGTTCGGTGATAAGGCATATCCTTGTCACTGTTCAGTGAGAAGACATATCCTTGTCGCTGTTCAGTGAGAAGACATATCCTTGTCGCTGTTCGGTGCAGAAGACATATCCTTGTCGCTGTTCGGTGAAAAGACATATCCTTGTCGCTGTTCAGTGAGAAGATATATCCTTGTCGCTGTTCGGTGAGAAGATATATCCTTGTCGCTGTTCGGTGAGAAGACATATTCTTGTCGCTGTTCAGTAAGAAGACATATCCTTGTCGATGTCCGGTGAGACGACATATCCTTGTCGCTGTTCGGTGAGAAGACATATTCTTGTCGCTGTCTGGTAAGAAGACATATCCTTGTCGCTGCTGGAGCTGGTACAGGTTGAGAGTGCACTTTTGAGTAGATATGGTTTGAATTTGAATTCTATAAATATATCATCCGGGGATCAAAAAAAGTTGGTGGCATCTTTTGGTCCGTGGTCATTTGTCCACCGCATTGAATTAAAGATGGAAGCCATTTCGGGCCATAAACCCTGGTCACCAAAAAATAAATTTTTCAAAATATGGGCATGATGTATACCATTTTCGTGGAAATTTTATGCCGATTCAGAATCATATAACAATAATGGGTCAAAAACGTTATGGGGATTTATATTGGTTTATACCATAATTACATTTTACATTTTCTCCAAATCTGTTCAAATCATTCAGTAAAGCTGGATCCCCACTTCACAAGGCCAAAAGTATAGTAAAGAACTCAATACTCAGTCGTAATTGTTGCTAGGGAGACTAGTTTGCTAACCATTACACCGCCTCAAGTCGCCTTGACACGTCGTAGAATAAATATGTATTGGATTCATTTAGCTAGCATAATTTTTGATTTCATTGCTTTACAAAGTATAGTATAGAGCTTAATGATATCCTGTTGGTTTTTAATTGTAACTTGAAGCTTGGTAATGTTTTTTTTTCTGTTTTGGGACTGTAATTATACCTGAAGAATGAAATAATGTTAATGTATCTGTTTGTTATTTGCGCTTATAAGAAGGAGACGACTCTGCACGCATTCATTTTAAATTCTAACAATTTATTGCAAATTTACCTTTTGAGAGCTACAGTTATTTAATTGATGGCTGATTCTTTTTATTTTTTCTCGAGATAAAACTTAATTAAATGATGAATATAAAATCATGGAGGCAACTTCAAGTGGCCCGCCAGTGGCATAAGTTCAGAAGCCGAAGAAGAGAAATATTCAGCTGAGCAGAGTATTGCGAGATAGGAGGATTTCTTTGGTAACAAAGAAAAGAGTACTAAGCCATTTCGGGCCATAAACCCTGGTCACATGTGACATCAGCCCTCTTCTACGGCGGCGAATGTTGGGCCGTCTCCTCAAAGATGAAGAGATTCGAGGCGACAGAGATGTTGTTCTACAGAAGGATACTGAGGATATCATGGACCGAGCGTATGAGCAACACAGAGGATACAAACAAGGAGGAGGTTTATACTTAACATCAGGAAGAGGTAACTGAAGTTTCTGGGACACGTAATGTGGAAAGAGGGCACAGAGAATCTGATACTCACAGGTCGAATAGAGGGAAAGAGAGAAAAGGGAAAGCAACGCATGAAATATCTAGCAGGTTTAAGCAAGTGGATGACAGAACGTGGTCTGGGGGAGGTGGCAGAAGGACGAAACTTAATGAGAGCTATAAGGGATAAGGAGAAGTGGAGAGCCATGATCGCCTGCCCCCTGAAAGGACACGGCACATAAAAAGAAAGATCATTTGTCAAAAAGTTCAGGACAGTCAGCAAAGCAAAAAGTTAACTAGCACACCTGATGGACGATCTGTTATTATACAAATATCAAGTATCTTAGATGTTGATTTACTGGTAGAGTTAACAAATGGAGATCTTTAGAGTCTTCAATATCATGTTCGAAGTTGTTATTCCTGTTACAAGCGTTCTGGTGAAAGACACAAAACAAGAGAAGTGCCAGAGAAACGTTTTGAACGTTTCTCTGGCACTTTCTGGCACCCAGAAAGTTCTATAGTCAGTGAGTTAAATTCTCCTGAAAGTAGACATAAAAGACGAAAAACCCTTGTTGAAAGTGAAGTGAGGAAAAAAACTTGCCTTATTTGTGATAAAGTGAAGTATAAAGTTTTGCAGCAGAGAGGTATGTCTTGTGGTCTTCTCTGGTCTGATGAGGGAGTTTATAGTTTAGCTAAAGAGCTTCAACTGAATCATCCAGAAATATTTGCTACTATTTTTCTTGGAATAAGAGGATTCCATATAGAAAAGATAATAATTGCATGTTGCGGGAAGTATGTAGAAGAAAGAGAATCAGCAGCGTTCTGGTTGACAATGAATTTTTTGTTTTACAAGTTGTCAAGGAAAACGTGCAATGGCGATAATTGCTGAATCCATCGAGCATCTCCTGTTATCTACTTTTTTCAATGCAGCCGATACAAAAAAGTATGGAGATCTTTTTGCCCAACTTAGCTACAATCTTTATTTCATGCAGCTAACCCCAATTTAGATTTGATTAGTATGGCATGGGCAAGGCTCGAAGACGAGATTGCGAATCTTTTAGTAGATTTAGACAATTTCCAGATAAATGGCAGCTTAAGAAGTCAATTATTTGAATACTGGGACAAATTTATCAACTTTATTACCCCAACCCTTCGTGACCTCATCAGATCATTCCGTGAGGGAAACTGAAATCTGCACTTATCAGCAGTTCAGAGAGGTATACCACTATGCTTTGCATCTAACCGTATCAATTACAAAAGTGTTTTCATTTGATACATAGACTATACAAGATAACGAAACTATGAATTAAAAGATCTCTTACAATTTGAGGTAACATCTACTTCATTTTTCCTATTCATTTTCTTGCGTCAGTGTTTAAAACTGGGAGACGATGCCTACCAAAACTTCTACCAGACTCGGTTAGTTGGTAAAACGGAAAGGCTCCTTGACACTATACCAAAGGCGAAAACTTCGAAGCGATCTACATCAACCATACAATCGTATGATTGACTAGCTTTAAAGGATAAATTTCCATCCATATACAAGTCATTTATGGCAGGTGGATTTGTTGTGAGGCATACAATTGCAGTTTCTATGGACCAAGCCTTGAAAAGACTTACAATAAACCAGCAAAGAGCAACACCGAGATTGTTGGTATCACCCGGCGTAAAGATGCTGTATGTCGATGGAACATCATCAAGCATAAGAAGACAAAATTCAAGAACTTTTTGCAGGAATGGTGTTATTTGAACGAATATGATGAGTATGTGCTACACCACGATTATTCTATAAGTAAAACTGTCGCTGACAAAAAAAGTCTGTTAATGCAGTCATAGTCGCCAAACGTGGTCCATCCTGGGTAAGACGATAAACTACATCCGACAGCAAGGGGCCTCTGATCGGGAGGTTTTGAGGAGTGTGGAACCATCTCTTAATTTCTTGTTTTCCCAGATCCACTCTAACCCGGGGTGGTCCCAGCTGTGGTCAAGTGGTTAAACCCCGGCTGTGGTCGGAGCACTATGAAAATATAAAAATAGGATTTAATACCAGAAATACATTTTTGTAAAAAAAAAAAATAAACTTTTGAAGAAAAAATTATACCAGCAATACATTTTTGAAAAAAAAATATCAGCAATACATTTTTGAAGAAAAAATGTTAGCAGCAAGCCATTTTTGGAAAATAAAATTCTTGTCGACATTAAATAAGCCATTAAGGTTGATATGACGTAAACCAAACCAAACCAAACCTAACATGGAAATCCTTTTGACCCAGAAAATTCCAATGAACTGGCCAATATTGTCACTAGCACACAAATTGATCTTGAATCAAGCACTTTCTTGCTTCAGTGTTTAAAACTGGGAGAAGATGCCTTACCAAAACTTCTACCAGACTCGGTTAGTTGATAAAACGGAAAGACTCTTTGACACTATACCAAAGACAAAATCTTCTAATCGATCTACATCAACCATACAATCGTATGATTGAAAGAAGAAAACAGTTTTTTTTTCATTTGATACATAGACTATGCAATATTACGCAACTATGAATGAAAAGATCTCTCTTACGATTTGAGTTAACATCTACTTCATTTTCCTAACAAAAGATAGATGTCTTCACAAGCCAGTCAAATCAGACCTTGCCTCAGATTTAAATGCTTAAGGAAAAAAATGCCTGAAGAGTTACCTGATGCTGTTGAGAAACGAATGACGATTTTTGATTTCATGAGTTTCGACCATCAAGTTTCAGTCAAGAAATCTAAGTTGAAAATTCTCTGACTTATGTAATCACCTTTAGGTTAACTGAAGATTGTGAATGCATTGACATTGTATTTATTTGACTTATACCGCCAGAAATCTATAAAAGGAAATGAACGAAATCGCAGAGGTAAGCAAGCAAAAATACTCACAGATGTTTCACACGATGATCAAGCACTTCTAGTGGAGATAAATAAGTTCTGGCGGTTGACACAGAATAAAATCTCTTTTCAGCATTGTGGCTGTAGACGAAGGATACTAGTGGAAAAAGGAATTCTAGAAAGTTATTTCCTGTACATGAGGCACTTGATATAAATGACACAGAGGTTTTACCAGCACTACATGCTATGACCGGCTGTGACTCGACTAGCAAGGTCTCAACTAATCTTAATCAGATGTTTTTTTTTTTCCCGAGCAGTAAATGCACTAACTTTGATGACCTGATCAAGCACTTCTAGTGGAGATAAATAAGAATAAAGTCTCTTTTCAGCATTGTGGCTGTAGACGAAGGATACTAGTGTTGAGGGGTTCTCCCCTTTTTTACACAAATGGACTCACCCAGTATATACATATACTACGGCTACGTGGCGACCCGAGAGAGCATGACATCCGAGTCTAGCTGTCGTGATACAGTCTTTGACTGTAAGCGACGACTGTCAAACTCTCTGCATTAGCAGAGAGGAACCCGGACGAAGCTTTGCCGAAGGGCAAGGTTTCGTTCGGGGAGGTAGACAGGGCCTGAATCCGTCAATGCGGTTCTAAAAAGGCTATATTTTTGGCCGAGCCTACGGGCTCGGAGATACCCACACTAAACTGGCCTTGTGCCATATTCAATCCTTGTGGGTGGGTTGATAAATAGCGAGCATGACCTCCGAGTCTAGCTGAGTCGTGATACAGTCTTTGACTGTAAGCGACGACTGTCAAACTCTCTGCATTAGCAGAGAGGAACCCGGACGAAGCTTTGCCGAAGGGCAAGGTTTCGTCCAGGGAGGTAGACAGGGCCTGAACACGTCTAGGCGGGTTCAAAGGCTATATTTTTGGCCGAGTCTACGGGCTCGGAGATACCCACATTAAACCGGCCTTGTGCCACATTCAATCCTCGTGGGTGGATCGATAAATATCGAGCAAGACCGAAGAGTGGGGTCGAGTTCAGAGTGACAGAGTAAAAGGTTGTAGGTAACCGGAAGAGTGAGGGTGAGGTAACAGCGTCATAGGAGTCACAATGAGCGAGCATGTAGACTCAGTAAGAAGTCATACAGCGATACTTCAATACCAAAGACTGTATAGATATTTTGCTACTATCCCGTATTCCTGGAACTACTAACCTGCATTACCAGTTTGTATTATTACGTTAATACATTATTTTCCTATATTCATTCTTGGCGTTTGTTATTTATTGGTGCCGGATTTCAACCTGCAATCCACAACAACTAGTGGAAAAACTATTTATCTTGAAGGGTGTAAAAAATCATTCTCTTACTGGCTCTGACTCGACTAGCAATCTCTCAACTAAGGCAGCAGCATTACGGACGGCTATAGAAGGTGGTGGTGAATTGCTCCATTCATTTGGATGGAGTGAGATAACAGTCGAAATGATAGAAAATGCTAAACAATTCTTAATCAGATGCTTTTTCCCCCGAGCAGTAAATGCACTAATTTTGATGACCTGAGATACGAGGTGTATCATGACAGGAAATTTCAGTTTGTCTTAGAGAAGTTTCCGCCACTATGAAGCAGCACATTCGACGTGTATATTTCCATGTATACTTGTGACAGCATGCGTCTTTTGTCGATTAAATATCACTGATTCCACAAGAATATGGATATGCGGACGATGAAATAGAACATTTGAGGCCTCATAGTGAGTGTATCTAAACTTCCAGATGACTTACTTGTGCCATGCAACTGTTTAAAATGTGCCAGAGGAAATGTCTGACCGTTTCGTGTGAAACAAGTTTCTTGTTGCCAGTTCTGCAAATGTAAAGGTGTCAGATGTTGCAAGAATCCAACAAACACACCATCGTCAAATTGATCTAGCAATAGTCATGAACTGGTTTCTGTAACTGTATTTTTAATTGGTGCATAAATATTTATTGTATTTATGACGTCTTCATTTTTTTTATATATTTTCAGCGGTAGGCCCCGTCATCATTAGGGACCTGGATCCCCCCCCCCAGGAAACTGCTCACTTCCTTTTGATTACAAACACAAGGGCTTAAGAGAATTATTGACTCACTTGGCTATTATGAATAAACACAAGGTCAGATTTAAGGCGGATCTCCACTTGACAATTTTAATCACACACACTAACAATTCATTGTTCTGACTTACTTGCCACGAGCGCAGCGTGTGAGAGTTGAAACAAAATCTACTCTCAAAATATGATCGCTTTCGCACTCAATTTTGTTGAAGTGGAGATCCAGCTTTACTGAAGGAATTTAACAGACCCATTGTGTAAAGGATGTCTTTTGTGGTGTTCATAAATTTTGAGAAAATGTAAAATGTAGTTATGGTATGACCCATTATAAATCCCCATAACTTTTTAACGGTATATTTTTTACTCATTATTGTTATATGATTCTGAATTAGCATAAAATTTCCAAGAAAATGGTATACATCATTCCCATATTTTGAAAATTTTATTTTTTGGTAACCAGGGCTTATGGCTCGAAATGGCTTTCATCTTTAGTCCAGTATGGTGGACAAATGACCACGGACCAAAAAATGCCACCAACTTTTTTTGATCCCCAAACGATATATTTCCAGGATTTAAAGTTAAACCAAATCCACTCAAATATACGCACTCAACCTATCCCAGCTCCAAGAGTATTGTCTTACACTCCTTTCTATTTTTGTATATTCACTGTATTCATTTTCTATCCGTATGCAGGCGGTTTGTTGCGCGTATGAATTCTGGATTATTCTGATATCTTTCCCAAATATGGCAAGATGTTTTCTAATTCTTGGTATTTTTTATTTTGCTTCCATTCTTTTTTTAATTGTTTTATTTTGCTCTTTTACCACTTTATTTATTTATTTATTTTTGTTTCCCCTTTTCTCTTCGCTTCCTATTTCACCTTTTTTTCGCTCCTGTTTCCTTTCTTTCTTTTCCTATTTCCCAGTCGGCGCATATATCCCAATCTATCACCCTCTTTCTTTCTTTCTTTCTTTCTTTCTTTCTTTCTTTCTTTCTTTCTTTTCCTTTCTTTCTAACTTCCTTTCTTTCTTTCTAATTTATGCATTTTCATTCCATTTCTATTCCTTTTTTTTTTCATCCATCCTTTTATTCAAATTATTTTTCTTTCTTTGTTATTTACATATAATTATTTAATTTGTATTCTTTTCTTTTCGTTCTTTATACATTTCTATTTCATATCTATTCCTTCTTTCTTTCTTTCTTTCTTTCTTTCTTTCTTTCTTTCTCCTTTAAACATTTTCATTTCATATTTACTCTTTTTTATTCTTTTTCTCTTCCTTTCTTCCTCGTTTGAACATTTTCGTTCTATTTACATTCTTTCTTTCTTTCTTTCTTTCTTTCTTTCATAAAACCTCTCTACGTATTTTCTACTTATTTTTTTCTCTCATTCAAAATCTTCAATCCCATTTTTATCAATCGCCAACCCCGAAAGAGAGACATAAATAAAGGACAGTAAAACATCTTTATCAATTTCATCTTCAGCAAAACAACATGGTTGTTCTCTCTCACACTGCTTCTCTTTCTTTTCAATTTACAGAGACTTGTCAGCGGGAAAAATAATATTTTTTTTCATCATTTGCCTCTTCAAAAAATATTTTGGTATGGCCAATCCTAAATTTGATATTTTTGTCTGTATTCTTTCTCCAAATAATTTCCCCCTTTCCTTCTCGTAAGTCGTTCAATGGATTCTTTAATAAAAGGATAATCTGGTTATCAGTACGGTTAGCTTGACCCAAAAGAAAATCATTCATTACCGAAATTTTATGATCCTTTACACAGGAGAACTAGTTAGTTTTTCTATTGCCGAAACGTTTCTTGCTACTTCTTTTTAATTAATGTGGAAGTGATTTGCGTAGAATTTAGTTATATTGACACTGTAGTGCCCTTTAGTAGCAGCCATAAGTAAATAAACCCTGTATCAACATCAGCTCGAATATAAAAAAAAAACGTGGGCCGTAAAGTAACTCTCTTTTCTTCCAGCTTCCCCTTTCGAACTGCTAAAGTGTACTTTCCACGCTGAAGCTAAAAAATCTGCGAAACACTTCACACTAAAACCCACCCACAGTAATTTACAATTTACGTCTAATAAAAGAAGTTCTTGTTTTGTAGAATTAGATTTCTACATTCTCTGTTTTAAACATGTTAAAAAAGGATCACAGCTAAGTATTCTCAGTTTGTGCTGAACCCATTAAAATCGGCTCCAGAGTTCAGTATGAAACAATGCTTTCTGATTGGTTCATAAATAATAATGTCATGTTTCTACCTACGTCCGCACGGTTGACTTCGAGTTGACCTGTTCATAGTTCCACGCGCCAAAAACAAAAAAAAAAAAAAACTCTACAGTAAGTCAAGCAATCTATTTCGTTCAATTTCACCATCAACATAAACTGTTTAATTTTTTACCAGAGATATAACACCTTTTATATTACCCTTGAACACACAACTAAGAACTCTAAAGTTTTAAACAACTTTATTATATCGTGTGTACTTGTTATATAAGAATATTTTTTGCTAAAACAAATATCTGCTTATTTGATTATTTCTCTTCTTGTTGTCTTTGTTGCATTTGATTTAGTAAACATAGTAGAGGGTCAATGTAATTTGTATTTTGTCACCGATACAGACTAGCTAAGCCACTACAATTTTAAACTTTACTTTTGTTAATTTTGTTTTAAATGTTATATTTGCATGGCAAATCAGTTGGTCAGTTATTTTTGTACCTTTAATGTTTACACCACCATTATTCTTTGTACAAAAAAATATTCCCGTAAGAAACCTTACACATTTAATTATGGAAGTAGCTAATCACTAAATTGGTTACACGACAAAAAGTTTTTATGATAAAAAAGTACGCGTTATTTTTTCTTTAAAAAATAGTGTATTAAAACTTCATACTAGCAAGGTTTCGCAAATTTCAATTTAAACGGATTTTTCTTGAAAACAAATAAAATTGTGCTACATTCTGTAAGTATTATTACTTACACTAACTACAAATATATTTTCGTTTTTGTATTTTAATTTTGATATCTTTTTCATACGGGATTTTCTTTTAGTAATTTTCGGAGAAAAACAAAAATCTTTCACAAAACTGAATTTTGAATTAACAATATTTTATGATAAAATATTTTATAAACTTTATGGGTGACCTATCTTTTTTTTTATATGCTATGCCCTTTTAGGACGTAGGTGATCATAGCTCTCCACCTCCCTCTATCCCTTGCAACTCTCAACAAGTTCCTTCCCTTTGCTACCTCCCCCAGACCACGTTCTGTCATCCACGTGCTTAAGCCCGCTAGGTATGTAAAGCGTTGTTTTCTCTTGTCTCTCTTTTCCTCCATTCGGCCTGTGAGTATCAGATTCTCCAGGCCCTCCTTCCTCATTATGTGTCCAAGAAACTTCAGCTGGCTCTTCCTGAGGTTAAGTATAAGCCTGCTCTTTCCTTGCATCCGTTCTAAGACCTTATCGTTGCTCACACACTCGGTCCATGATATCCTTAGCATCCTTCTGTAGAACCACATCTCCATCGCATCGAGTCTCTTCTTCATCTTTGAGGAAATAGTCTAACATTCGCTGCCGTAAAGAAGAACAGATGTCACGTAACAGATCAGTATTCTTTTCTTTGTTACCAATGAAATCCTCCGGTCTCGCAATAATCTGTTCAGCTTTTGGAATAAGTCCTTGGCGAACTAAATACGTCTGTGGATCTCAGTGTCGCACTTACCGTCCTCTGTCAAAACGCTTCACAGATATTTAAACTTCTGCGTCTGCTAGATTCTAGAGTTACCGATCTGTAAATCGCATTTCGGGCTCATCTTTTTACTGATGGCCATGTATTCCGTTTTCTTGTAGTTTATGCTTAATCCCTTCTTCACACTCTCCGTCGCTACCTTCTGTCAGAAATTTTGTAATTTCTGTTCCGTGTCTGCTATCAGTAGCGTGTCATCTACGTATCTTATGTTGTTAAGATTGTGGCCGCAAATGCTAAATCAAGATTTCCAATTCTCTCAGAATTGCCTCGCTGTATAGGCTGAAGACGCATCCTTGCCTTAGAGCCCTTTCTATTTTTGTATATTCGCTGAACTTGTTCCCTATGCGCATGCGTGCTGTTTGCTGCCAGTATAGGTTCTTAAATATTCTGATATCTTTCCCGAATATATCAAGGTTGCTGAGCAGTTCTTTGTAGAAGGCCTTTGCGTAGCCTATGAAACATAGATACATGTCCTTCTGCATTTGTATCGATCTTTCTTATAACATTCTGAGCATGAATATCACGTTCCTTGTTCCGGTATCTTTAACGAACCCGCGCTGTTCTCCTCCTATCTCTGGTCTGATTCTGCTGCGTGCTCTATTCATCAAATGATGAGATTTGCCACGTGGCTCATTAGGCTTATTGTTCGGTGGACTTCGCATTCGTTTGCGCCTGGTTTCTTAGGCATAGCTATGAAGTTAGATCTGCTGAGGTCTTCCAGTATTTCCCCGCTGTTGTTGAT